ATTTATTTACTTACTTACTTACTCACTCACTCACTCACTCACTCACTCACTCACTCATTCATTCATTCATTCATTCATTCATTCATTCATTCATTCATTCATTCGATATAGCCGCCCATCTCAAACTAGTGACTCTGGGCGGCATTGTGGGAGAGGTGGACAGTGTGACAGTTTTTACTTATAAATGATGGCCTTTCAAAAAGTTGATGAAAATTGAACTCTTCCAAAGGGCCTTTGAGGATTGATAGTCATTGTATCTTTTTTAATTGTGTAAATTGTAAGTGATATTTATCTGGCTTTTATCTTATTATGAATATTGCATTTTGTATTTATGTAGGGTTTGGGTTCAGTGAGTAATTATTCCAGTGGACATTTTATTAGATTGTGTGTCCTGTTGCTGTAAGCTGTTAGGATACTGGACGAATTCCATAGCATACACATATGTTTAATTAATTAAATATATTTGATTAATCATAGTTTTGAGTAGCATGAAAAACAAATGCTTTTGAATTCTTTGTGGTTATACCATATGATACAGGTAGAGACAGGAGGGATTACATCCAATACCTATTCCATTCATAATAAATCATGGGTTAATACTGTTAAACCTGAAGGCAACAACAATCTAGAAGTTTGATTTGGATTGCTTCACACATTTGAATTTCTAACAGTATATGGTTATAAATAAATCTTAAATCTAGAGCTATCTGCAACGTTCCAGACAATCATTAGATTACAACAGAGAGTTAGGTTTTATCTGTTTCCAAATGGTTTGTCTGGATTTTGCAGCCCAGATACAATAGCCCTGCTTAAATCTGTTTCCCAAATTTCTTAGAGGTAACATACTTTTTCTGACTCAAAAGTTAAAGGCGCAATTCACTATTATATTGCTGAAGATTCCATGTTAAATCAAAACAAGGCAGGGAGTAGAAAATCCACAGTGCTATATTTAACAAACAAGTCTTTTTCAATCGATGGAGTTGGTAGCTTGAATATTCTTTGCACTGATGTACAATTAATGAAAATTAGGAGTTGTTTCCAAACAACCAGTTAATATTCGCCTCTGTCAGTTAAGTTTAAGATACCATTTTTTAACTCAGTCTTTAGAAGAATAACATTTTCTATAGCTATAATTTTGTTATTCAAGTAAGGAACCTTTACTTTGTAAAATAACATGATAGCTTTTAATGCATTTTGGCTCTTATCAACAAAAAGCAGAGAACTTGGATATACCCAAGCGATTCATCCTAACTTACCTTATAGATACAAATACTACCATCTCCCACTGAAACTGAGAACTGACAATGGGTGAGGAAAAAGTGGCAATGGGAAACTAGATGTCTTTGTTTGCAGAATAAAAAAATTATCCTGGAAAGGCTTATAAAATCCAACTACATATTACCTATCAGGATGTTACATGTAGCACTCTGTTTAATGTTTTGGATACAGTTAAATATGTAAACTAAACTTATCTAAACACAGCTCATTAGAATACCCTGTCAATGCAGTTCTTCTAAACTGAAGCCTCATTTCTTTCAAAGGTAGAATTCATCCTTCTCATTGAAATTGAAATCAGTGTACATTACAAAGTTTGATTTTTGCTGGATAGGCCTTGTAAATTGGCAGGAAAATTCACTGTAAAAAGTACAAAAATGACAATATTTATTCCCCATTATCCTCCCCTTGACCGAGACCTATTTGCAATATTATAAAAAGAAGAATTGCTAGGGCTATCTCTGAACTTCTAATCAACAAAGATCTATGAGCATAATCATATTTTAAACATTCTGAAGTTGCTTTAAATTTGAAACAGATATTCAGAACTGCATAAAATATTTGCCTTAAATCATATTAGCATCAGGAACTTCGAACTGTAATCTGGGGGTGGTATTTCATGCCTCAGGTTGTTGAAGGGCACATGATAGCTACGCTGGCTTGACTACTCAAAACATTTCAGTGGCCATATTGAGATTCTACTGGACAAAGGGTGGGGGGTGCATTGCCTCCCAGCTGCCCTTGAACTATTTCAAGCAAAATCTCTCGCTCAGTCACATGTGGAATGCAGCTCAGGTCATTTTCTAGCTGTGGCCCCTTGGAACTTGCTCAGTCCAGTTTCCTTAGGGTGGTATTTCAAGTGTCTGGTTGCATTTTTAATGCAGCCTTACGCCCTGAATCAGGTTTGATGATGATAGAGGCCAGGTTGTGGCTTTCAATTTTCACCTACTGGCTGAAATTTTACTTCCTACCTAAGTGCCTTGCTCCCCTGATACTCTCAGATAATTATACAGTAAATCGTCTTGAATGTTCTCCCCTGAAAGCAAATTACCCAGAAATATGTTCTTTCATGGAGAAGGTGCTAAGAATGGGCTAAGAGCAGGTAATATCATCTATTAATGTGTTATGGCTGTGGAGTGTCAAACTGATTTAGGCAGAGTCCCCAAACGCCCTGTGGAAGAGTGCATAAGGTATTGTCTAAAACCTGTGTGATATCTTCCAGAACTGATTTATGCAGGCCATAAAAAGTCTTTACTCTGACACCCTTCCCTCAGTGGTGCTGGGGTGTGTATGTACGTATGTACATATGTATGTATGTATGTATGTATATGTATACGTATATGTATATAAAGTACCCTGTTCAGAATGATTGTGCCTTTGTGGGGATGGGGAGATAGAAACAACTGAGCATGTCCTACTGGTTTGCCAAATTATAGCCATGTACGCAGCACCTATATTACACTGTTACTAGTAGGTTTTCCAGATCACCCCAAGCATTTTTATGTCTTGCACCTATTGTCTGATAAGACTCCTACAATAACATATAATGTGGGAAAATACTTTGTGGCAGCATGTAAAATCAGGAAGATGCTGGTGCCTATAAGAAGTTAGCAAATAGTTTCTCTCTGTGGTTTCTGTTTCTTCATTTGCTTATGGGTTCACTTCCTTCTGTCTTCAGCACCTGCTTCTACTGTATATCTTCTTGTTTTATGTATTTATATTTACTTGTCTTATGTACCATTTTTAAAATTTATTTATGTAGGGAATTTTTGTAAAAAATATACATTTTTAACCATATTTTAATCTTATTCTTGCTTAGGCTTGGATTGCCCGTGGGTTGTGTGTGCCCATTTCCCCCACAGTGTATCATTCCTTACCTTTCATAATATAGTTTTACATTTCTATACCCTTCTATAATGTATTGTTTTATGCTGGTCTTTGTCTGTAATAAAGTTTCTGTTCTGAACTGTAGTCAAGGATATGTGGAAGACACACAGCTGAGGAAGGCTATTCTAAAATAAGTTGCAGGGCTACTTCCCAGAGGGATGAGTCAGCAGGAATGAGTCTTGGCTCCACCTCAGTCTCCCCACTCACTTTCTCCGTATCAAATTATACATAAATTGTACATATTTAACAATACAAAAACATATAGTTTCAATAAAGCTATTTTAGTTTTTTTTTAATAATGTTTAGATTGGAAAAACTTTAGCTTAAGCAAAATAAAGCATGTGACATTTTGCACTATAGTCCTAGAAAGCAAAAGAGCTTACAAAAATAATTTTCTATCACCGGTAGTCTGATTTCTTTAAGATATTCAACTGATTAATTCAGATGAGGGCAGAGGAGTTCTATGCTTAACACATTAATGCATTAGCGAAATACTCAAGACAATCATCAAACTTCCATTTTTCACATCTTATCTATTAAACCAAAGGGCCTCCAGTTAACCACACTAACGCTGATCTTCAGCATTTCCACATAGCTATGGCAACATTTGAATCAGAGTTTTTTGGGGTTCCAGCACCAGGTCTAGTGGAAGGTGAAGACAGCATCAGGAAGTTCTTGGGAACCAAACATCCTAGGAGGGCCATCATCAACATTAGCCCCTCTGTAAAAATCATAATGATCATCATCAATGCTCCTGGTAGCTGCTATCTTTTCTTTCAGACTCTTCTCTGGAAGAGACACTAAATTTCTGCAATAGGAATGTCCAGGAAGATTGATAAGGGAGAAAGGCTACTGACAATAGTTGCTAGGAGCACTTTAATAAATTCCTCACAACTCTAAGGAGATCCACTAGATGACATCACCAAACAGCCTCTCAATTTGTATGTAGTCTTCCACATTTCACATTTTTAGCCATTATGCTACCCAAAACTGCCTATTTAACATGAGTCCTAAAAAAACAAACATGGAATTCTATATTTAACTTTATCTTAATATGGATTTTGTATAAACAGTCTCTTTATCTGGCCAATTCAAAAGACACAAGAAATGTACATGTTTTCAGTCTTTTAATCAAAAAAGATATTTGAAAAAGCAGGAGAAAGAAAAAAGCAGGCTGATTTGATATTGTTTAGACATACATTTATCTTTAATAATCATAATGACTGTTCATACACTAGTTAGAATAGTTTGTTGTTCAGTGTGAGGTAGGAACTAACCTACTGTTATGTGAATCAGACTATCAGGGAATGCCTTATTTTGATGTATTTGTCTGGTTATGGCATATTGTATGAACACAGGAATGGTGTTTTATTTATCTGGGTTTTATTTATCTGGGTTTATGGATTAGGTCTAAAAACAGCCCAGTGCAATAGATGGTGATATGATATATAGGGGAATTATCATCTCAAAACATTTTTATAAAAACAAATTCCACTGAGCTCCAATGAAAATAATGAAATATTATTTTACATATTTTCTTACCAGTAAGTGACATCCAAAGGTGCAAAATATTTCTTCATAATTAAGTCAGCAAAGTAAGCTTCAGTTTCCCTACAGGCTGTTCCATTGCCAATCACAATAGTGCCACAGCTTTAACGAGAGAGTGAGAAGGAGAAGGGGGAAGAGAGAGGGAGAGGGAGAGGGAGAGGGGGGGAGAGGGGGGGAGAGAGAGAGAGACGGCATTAAAGTTAAGGACATCTAAGACCATCATATCATCCATCTTCTATTTTGTTTCTCTTCCTCCAGAACCTCCTCCAAACTAATATGGAAAAGGAAATCTGCTTGCCTTAAAAAAATATGGAGCCCCTTCATTCTTCTAGAAGAAGCTTTATATACCTTTTGCTTTTCCTATCAGAGTACTGATAGGAGTAATACACAAGTGAAGAAGGTGTGAAGTGTGTGAGTATACAATGGAAATGAAACCAAAATACACTTACATCTATTCTTGGCACTTCACATCAAAGATAAGGTAGCTGGTAGTTGGTCACAGACCTAACACATTCTGCTCTCATTAACACATATATATTCTTCAACATACCTCCTCACAATACCACCATATAAAGATTTTAAAATATCAAAAGTTCCCTTTCTATGCTGCAGCTTAGCAGTAACATATATAGGCAAAAGCAACATTTTAAAAAACTTACTTGTGACCCAACAGAAGTTTCCGAATCTTCTCAGCTTCATGGATTCCTTTACCAGAATGCAAATAGACAATATCTGTATGGAGTATCTGACCTAAGGTGAGAAGAAAAGAAATATAAGGTTGTTTTGCTAGGATCATGTAACATCTATGGCTGAACATGGTGGGAACAAACCTCAAGAAGCCTTGGGCATGTATGTTCCCCAGTTCCCAACCCCACCCCCTTTATTACACATACAGCTGTGAGGAGACTTTAATTATTTGCTTCTGATTTTAAATTAATCACAGTTTCTTTTTAACTGAAAAGAGGAAGGCCTGTTTGTTCCAATCATGTTTTTGTAGTTTACAATTTTTTATTTTGCTTGTTTCTTAACACATTATATGATGAAGTAACCAAGGTTCCCAGTTTAGACTGCTATGACTTCAAACAGAAAACAAAATGTCCTTTTAGAGATGGGAGAATAAAATGAGCTTCCTCTTTTGTTCCTATTCTTGACTGGAAGCCCAACTTACGGTAGTTAAAATTCTATATAAGATTTATCAATGTATAAATGAGGTTGGTAATTCAAACATAGATATAAAAAGCTAATAAAAAGCTTCATAGTTATCAAATCTAAATGTAAATTTATCCTAAAAGGATTTGCTATACATTCTGACTAAATATTAGCAATCAAAGAATTTATGTCAACTTCCTCAACCAGTCCTACAGATGAATTTGATGGGAGTTGGCATTTTATCATCAGGGTGTTAGGTTTTTGTTCAAGTGTTATTGTGTCTGATACTTTTACTCAGGTATTACCAAGGGTATTATTTAGCCAATTGGTCCAGTTTTATTTATTTATTTATATATTATTATTAGATTTATATCCTGCCTTTACTGTGTACAACTCAAGGTGACATACATAATAAGAGCTTCTTGCCTCTTATTTTCCCAATGATAACAGCCCTGTGAGGTGAGTTGGGCAGAGAGAGAGAGAGAGAGAAAGTGACTGTCCCAAAGTCACCCAGCTGGCTTTCCTGCGAACCAGAGTTGACTATGTGAGTTTAGCTACAATTATATTGAAAATACTAATGAAACATTTAATATCTACTAATTCCTTTGTAGTAGAAAGTAATGTGCATAATTGTGGTTTATGAATGAAAATTTCTCCCAATATTTTATGCTTACATATACCTGTTTAGCTCAGTAGAACTCTGAGCAAAAGAACCGGGAGGCTTCAACCCAGTTCTCAGCAGAAGTGTGGACACTGAGTTTTAAAACTGTAGCTGATGCCTCTTTGACTAATAAAACCTTTTAAATTACTTTAATTATCTGATCGTGCACAATATCAGCAAGATTTAAAAAGGGAGGAGTTTTTTATATTTATTTTTATTGCTTTTTAATTAATAACAAAAAGAAAAAGAGCAAAACAATGATGATAATGATGGAAATACAAACATTGTCAAACAGAAAAAAACATAAAATTTCTTTACAAAAAGTGAAAGAAGTACGACAAAGAAAAAAAATAGTATATGTCATTGTAACAGTAAACAATTACAATTCTATTTATATATATACTTATCTAATGCAAATATTATTCAAGTACGTATATATGTGTATTTGTTTGCTTGCAAGTCTGAACATGGTCTACCTGGATGCATCCCAGATCCAAACACTGGCACCTACTTGACTATGTCATAATACATCAGCACGACCTTAAAAATGTCACCATCACCTGAGCTACGTGAGGTGCTGAGTGCTGAACAGGTCCTCATCCTGCACATAGGCCCTTTACATCGTAAGCAACCAAGGACTGTCAGAAAGTCATTCAACATTGGCAGACTGCAAGACCCAAGCCAAGTCCAACGTTTCCAAGACATATATAATGAAAAATTCTCCGGCAATTTACCGCTTGTAGGAACCTGTCTGAAAAGTGGATGCAGTTTAAAGATGTCATCACAAAAACTGCAACAACTGTGCTCTGACTGAAAACCTGGGTGCATAAAGGCTGGATTGATGAAAACCATAAGCAGCCCTCCAGGCCAAGAACAAGGCCTATGCAGACTGGCAGAACGATCCATCATCTGTCTCAAAGAAAGATAAGTTTAAGCACCTGCAGTCCAAAGTACAGATGGAACTGCAAGAAATGCAGGAGTGGTGGCAGAGAAAGGCTGAGCAGGTGGAACACTATGCAGACATGCATGCCACCAGAGAGTTCTTCAGCGCCATAAAGTCAGTTTACGGTCCTTCTAAATCAGGATGCTCCCCCCTGCTGTCATCTGATGGGACAAGCCTGATCAAAGACCAGGAAAGACTGAAAAACTGCTGGACTGAACATTTTTCCAACCTACTCAATAGGCCGTCCACAGCTGATCATGATGTCTTACAGCAAACTCCTCAGCTGCCATCTTGGATGCCCTAGCCCTGCCTCCCTCTACTGATGAGATCAAGAAAGCAATCTCGCAGATGAACTCAAGTAAATCAAGAGGTAGGATGGCATTCCTGCTGAGATTTATAAAACACTAGACCCAAACACCTTATAAGCATTCCAAGATATCCTGGAAGACATTTGGTCCACAGAAGACATGCATGATGACTTCCATAACGCCCTCATTGTGGCTCTCTAGAAAAATAAGGGAAGCAAATCAGACTGAGAAAACTACAGGCATATCTCACTGCTGTCCATTGCAGGCAAGATCTTTGCCCACTCTCTCCCAAACAGACTTGTCACTGTATTGTCGAAAGCTTTCACGGCCGGAATACGATGCTGGTGTGGGTCTTCCGGGCTGTGTGGCTGTGTTCTGGAAGTTTTGTTTCCTAACATTTCACTAGCATCCGTGACCGGCATCTTCAGAGAGCAGGAGCAAAGAACCCCCCCCCCACACACCCTCAATCCCCCCCCCCCAGATCTCTATAAATACCCACA